TTTCAGATGTATAGTTCTATAAGCTTTGGGCATTCTTTGGGTATTCTCAGATGGTTTCTTACCCTTTATGGCAATTTTTTATTTTTATTTTATTAAATAACCTTTTTGTTATTTCAGTAGATAATATCACCTTGTTATCACTTCCTGGACTTTCTCTTCAGTTGTTTACTAGCTTCCTTTAATACAATAAAGATACTTGAAACTTTCTTCTATTTATGATTTTGGCTTTAATATAAATATTGGCTTGCATAAAAGTTGCTAATCTACATTGAGAATTTTAATTTCCATCTACTTTTAAGAAATATTTTCTATATAGTATATATTCTTTTGTTTATTATTGGCACTGAATAATTTGGACTTACCAGACATTCAGTAGCAAAGACAGCATTCCTCTCTGGATAAGGAGAGGACTTGAGATTGCCCCCAAGCACTTTAGACAGCAGCTCTCCATGAGGAGACTATAAGATGGTAGTTGCTGGTGAGCTTCAAGATTTCAGTGGTTAGAGATTGGCACCTTTGTCCAAAGACACAGGTTCACAAACTCCTTTGTTAAACACTTCTGGAAGTTGCTTGTTAACTGTTTTCTACTACCCGTGTTTCCCTGAAAATAAGACCTGGTCTTACATTTTTTTGCTGCCGCCTCCTCCTCCTCCTCTGCATGCCACTTTGGTGGCTATGGGCAGAGCCATGAAGGGGGCCAGGAGGCCGAAACCGCAGCCCAGGGATGAGGCAGAGCTGCAGGCCTCCTGAGTTCTCACCATTGAAACTACAACGGGGAACAGGCAACACGAGATGGCACCACAGGACCGAAGCGTCAGGTGGAGGAGGAGGCAACGGCTGTTGCTGGGCAGGTGGTCTGTGGGATGGGACAGGGCAGTGGGGATGGAAGAAAGCCCTGCAGTGGCAGAAACAGGGAGAAGGAGGAAACGGCCGCTGCCGGGCACATGACCTGCAGGGCGGAGATGGAAGAAAGCCCCTACAGCGATGGACACGGTTGATGTGCAGCAATGGCAGAGGCATTTTGTCGACAGTCCTTCCTGGCTCCAAAACAACAGAGGGGGACTGAGCCTCCCCTGCCCATCCTCCATAGCGTGGCAATCCGGCTCGAGAGGGGAGTGAAAGGGAAGAGGCAGGCAGGCAGCCAGGTCATTGAATGGGGCAGCTGCACTCCCCGACCTGCCTTGCCTCGTGGCAGTGGCACTGGTGCATCACACCTCCTCCTGTCCCATTGTGGCCACCAACAACCAAACGAAGTGGGCCGGTGGCCACACAGGCTCCTGCTGGATGGGGCTGCTGCTTTTGATGCAGCTATTGTGAAGCAAAGCAGGTGGTAGGGCAGGGGAGGCCTGGCTGCAGGGACCCTGAGATAAGCAGGTGTGGGCTGTGTAAGGCAGCTCCCCTCCCCCCTGCCTCACCTCGTGGTGCTGGCACTGGCGCACTATGCAGCCTCCTGCCCCATTGCAGCCACGAGTGACCAGACGGTGGGACGGAGTGGGCAGGGTCTTAACTAGGGCTTATTTTCAGGATAGGCCTTATTTTCGGGGAAACACAATATTGGAAACCTTCGGAATGGCAAAGTTTAATTATACTAATTGTCCTTCAATTCTAAGCAAAAGAAGTTTTATGTAAATGTAAACAATAAAAAAATCTTATTTTGGAATAAATAGAAAAAGAGTGATGAGAATGTTGACCTTGGACAGTACTAACTAAGGATCCAGATGGATTTGAAATAAGTGTTGATATTAATTATTAAGATTGCAAGACAGTTCTATTATCAGAAAATAACCATATTCTCCATATTATCTTCACTTCCTTGAAGACTATAGTTTATGTTTCTTTTCCAAAAAATAATTGTAATTTTTTGGGATTCATACCTGCAGGCTTATTGGAAACACCATGACCGAATTTTGCAGCATGCATCTTGCAGAAGTATTCAGAAAAACCCAGAGATTAAGAGAGTTGTGGTTGTGGCTCTGCAAGCCAGATGACAGAGTGGTGGAGATGCTTTGTGAGGGGCTTCAACACCCAGACTGTAAAGTAGAAAAACTAGGGTGAGTGATCATTGTTTCTTTTTCAATTTGATGTGTGTTACTTTCTCTTGACTGCTTTAATATAAAGCAGTCAAGAGAAAATAACACGTGAAGTAACATGTGAAGTATTAGTACTGATTTATAAATCCTTAGTAACACCACATCTGGAGTACTGCATCCAGTTTTGTTCACCACATTACATTTCCCTTTTCCGGCGGGTGCCTTACCTCCCTTGGGCTGGGCCAGGTGGTGGTCGGCCTGCTCCGTCTCTGCCACTTGCCAGCTACGCCTCGGCCGGCACAGGGGGCGGAACCACGCATGCGCGGCGCTCCCGGGCAGAGAAAGTCCTCGACTTATGACTGGTTGGGTAGTCCTCGACTTACGACCGGTTTAGTCCTCGACTTATGACCGGTTTAGTCCTCGAATTACGACCGGTTTAGTCCTCGACTTACGACCGGTTGGGGTCGCGGCATTAAAAAGGTTGAGAACCACTGTTTTATATCCTCTCTTCTCTCCCCCTTATTTTATATCCTTTCTCTCCCCTCCTTCTTTTATATCATCTCCTCTCCCCCCCTTTTCTCTTCAGTACACCTCCAGCTGACTGCTCTCCTCAAGGCTGTGCTTTCTTCCCCCCCTTGTCTTTTTGTCTCTCCCTCTCCTGCCAAAACCTGTTCCTTTTATAGCCTTTCCTCTCTCTCCCCCTGCTCCTTTTCTCTTCTGGGTTTGTTCAGCTGGAGCAGCGAACCTAGACAATACCTCACGCAGCTCCAGTTGAATCTATGCCTGAAGACTGCATGGGACTGCCTGCCACCCCCAAGGCTGCCATCAATCAGCTGGAGCTCTCATCAGGACCCAGGCAACACCTTATGCAGCTCCAGTTGAATCTCCCCCTGAAGATTCCGTGGGGCTGCCTGCCACCCTCAAGGCTGCCGCCAATCAGCTGGAGCTGAGTGTGCTGATCCTGGGCGCTCAGCAGGACCCAGGCAACACCTCACGCAGCTCCAGTTGAACCTCTGCCTGAAGACTCTATGGGGTGCCTGCCATCCCCAAGGCTGCCGCCAATGAGCCCGAGCTGTGTGCGCTGATCCTGGGCTCTCAGCAGGACCCAGGAAACACCTCATGCAGCTCCAGTTGAATCTCTGCCTGAAGATTCTGTGGGGTGCCTGCCACCCCCAAGGCTGCCGCCAATCAGCTGGAGCTATGTGAGCGTCTATAAACTATAGAAGATTGCTTACCGTCTCACAAATTCCGTGGGGTAGCCATTGAGCCTAAAGTTGCGATATAGATGTTTTCCCTCTTCAATTTTGGCTCTAACCGTGCTACAATGGGAATCGATCCGCTTGAATAAAGTCCTAATACAACTAATTTTGTGCGCTACAGGATGATTACTCCTGTAATGCAGCATTATGTACATCCATCTATCATAAACCTACTCATACGGACAGAATGCTGCACTACAGGAGTAATCATGGCTACCCCGCGGAATTTGTGAGACGTTACAGCGGACCACGTCAATCGCGTGGGCCCAGTCCTCCGGAGTAATGACGACACTGGCCACACAGATAATCTTACCTTACATCTGTGGTGTTTCTGAAGCCACGGCGCGGCTATTGGCTCCCCACAATGTGAGCGTTGCCCATAGGCCAGAGCAGACCCTAAGCACTAAAATCATGCGTCCTAAAGAGCCGCTCCCCAACGGTGAGCAATCTTCTATAGTTTATAGAATCAACTGCAGGAACTGCCCCTGCAATTACGTTGGGGAAACAGCCAAAAGGCTCAGGACTAGGGTCCATGAACATGAACTGGCAATAAAAAGGCAGGAGCAGTGCTCACAAGTGTGGACCCACATGGCCAACCTGGACCATACATTTGATCTGGAAAACGCACAGGCCATATCTCATGAGACCACCAAGGGTGGCTGCCTTTTTAAAGAAGCCTGGCTTTCGGATGAAAACTCCATCAACCGGCACATAGACCTCCTACCGGCATACCAGACCCTTAGAAATACAGTACTGGTCTGCATAAACAGAGGGATGATATCAAGGTCATGTGAAAGTACTGCTTTATACTGGTTTGGTAAGACCACAGTTGGAGCACTGTGTCCAGTTTTGGTCACCACAATATGAACAAGATGTTGACACTTTTGAAAGAATGCAGAGAAGAACAACAAAGATGATTACAAGAGTAGAGGTTAAAACATATGATGAACGATTGCAGAAACTGGGTGTGTCTAGTCTAACAAAGTGGACTAAGGGTGGCATGATAGCAGTCTTCCAATATTTGAGAGGTAGTCACAGAGAAAAGGGAGTTAACCTATTCTCCAAAGCACCTGGGGAGAGGACAAAAAGTAATGGGTGGAAGACTATCAAGGAACGATCCAACCTAGAACTAAGGAGAAATTTCCTGACTATGAGAACAGATAATCAGTGGAACAGCTTGTCTCCAGAAGTTGTGGGTGCTTCATTACTGGAACTTTTTAAGAAAAGATTGGACGAAATGGTATAGGGTTTCCTCCTTGAGCAGGGGGATGGACTAGAAGACCTCCAAGGTCCCTTCAAACTCTGTTATTCTGTATTCCGTAATATAGTCCATATTGTTTCTCCCAAAATAATTTTAATTTTTTGAACTCTTTTCTTCAGGATTCATGAAGATTTTGTGAAGTCCTGCAGCAGGCATTTTTTAGAAGTACTCAAGAAAAATCAGAGATTGAGAGAGTTACAGTTATTTCTCTACATTCTAGATGAAAGAGTAGAGGAAATGCTGTGTCAGGGGCTCCAACATCCAGATTGTAAAATAGAAAAACTAAGGTGAGTGATCACTGTTTCTTGTTAGTTTGATGTACTTTCTCTTGACTATATTCTGAAAAAACATCCAAGGAAAGGCCTCACTTTCCACATATAATCATACTCTGCAGTTCCTACAAGAATACAGTCCATGCCTGTTTTTGATGGAATAATTGTAATATTTTGCACTTTTTCCTACAGGCTTGAAGGGAATTTCCTGAAAGAATCCTTCTGCAGGCCTTTTGCCGAAATACTCAGGAAAAACCAAAGACTGAGAGAATTAGATTTGTTCCCCGACTACTTAGATGACAGAGTAATTGAAATGCTATGTAAGGGGCTCAAACATCCAGACTGTAAGATAGAAAAACTAGGGTGAGTGATCAGTGTTTCTTTTTCAGTTTGATGTGTGTTGCTTTCTCTTGAGTGTTTGTCTTCTGGAAATATATCCAGAGAGAGGCATTATTTGCCATGTATGCCATATATTCTCTTCAATTTCTACAAAATACAATCCTTGCTTGCTTTTTAAGAAATAATGGTAATATTTTACATTGTTCCCTACAGACTTGGTGCAAAATTCTTGACTCAATCCCCCAGCAGGCAATTTACACGTGTACTCAGGTTGAGAGACTTTGAGTTGTTTCCCACCTACAGAGATGACAGAGCAGCAGAAATGCTTCCTGCAGGGCTTAAATATTCTAACTATAAATTGAAAGCACTACGGTGAGTGAGCAGTGTTTGTTTTTCAGTTTGATTTGTGTCATTTCATTTAAGTGATTCTGTTCGGGAAATATATCCACAAGGAAGTATTTTTAATACACCAGGTAATCATGTTCTGTATGGGCCCTTCACGAATACAGAGTTCATGTTTCTTTTCAAAGATATTATTCTAATTCAACTTGGTGGACAGTCTGTC